ACTTAATTTCCTCCATTTTAAAAACTAGATGTAATTATTTCATAATTTAGTGAATTATGTTTGTGTGCTGAAGTGCATTATGAATTATTTTAAACTGTCAGCTTCACCAGTCAGAGTCAGTGGGGGGGTTTGGACTCTGATTGGCTGCCTCAAACAGCAATACAAGACAACCAAGCCGATCCATTATTAAACAACGTCAGAAGCAAAAATATAAGGAACATTTATTTTCTTGGCTGCTTTTCCTGAATTTCTTTCTACTTCACGCGTTTTATCGGCTGGATGCTGAGTTTAGTCTGCAGACTCGCACTTCATTTGATGGCCTTCCAGTGGAGATGCTTTAAGAGATTTAAAATTTTGCACCAGGAGACTTTCAGAGTCCAACAGCTCTAGAAGCAAGGTTAGAAGGTTGCCTTTCTATAATTATGTGATTGGAAAGCCTGATATGAAGAACTGCTATTAAAGTCAATCAGTTCTGCTCTGAAAACTTGTTCAGGAGGTTTCTTTTATAAAAACGTGGGAGATGTAAATGATAACAGCCAACACTGTGGGTCGATGGGAGGGAAAATAGAAGTTGGGAATAAATTCACATTTGCCTCTGTTTCCGATTTGTTTATATTGTGCATGCTGTGGAGGAACCAGTCTGATGCAAACCTGGAATATGAATCAAAAGGTTGAAACAGTGTTTAGTTGTAAAACACTGTGAACTCTTTCAACCTTAAATTTCTGCTTTCCATCTGCTTTTTGCTCCGTTACACTTCATTTTTTGCCCCACAAAGCAGCCATAATGTTGGCTTAAAGTCATATATCATTTATTTTTCCACTTTTACTTTGCAGTTATATTCAGGTTTCTCACTTATTTATTCTAAAGACCAAAATAAATGTGTTTTTTTTTTGGTATGTTGCATTAAGACCTAAACAACTGGCACTCAACAGAGAGATTAAAAGCACTCGATCGCAAATCCAGACTTTCTGTAATTTTAAAACAAGTGGCAAATTACCACTTGTGATCAAAGTAGATATTCACAGGCATTGTTTGTCCGACCGGCATCAACACGTTCCTGTAAATTGTTTTACTAGAATAATATCCTTTATGTCACCAAGCCAAACTCTGGATGGTTCTCATTTATTTTTTATACAAGTTGTCCATGTTTTGTTACATATGAGAATTTAACTGTATGGAAATTATATGGATGTGAAAATATCATTTTTATAGGCAGACTGTTCATTTTGCTTAGAGACAGAAAAAAAGAAGCCAATTATTGTAGCTAAACACATAGAAGTATCATTTATAGATGGTGGTTCATTTTGCACTCTGAGGAGACGCATAAAGAAAACAAAAAAGATGTCGAAAGAAAACATTTTCTCACTTGATGAACAGTGGCGGTTTCCCCCATGGGCTTTGGAAGGCCAATTATGACGCATGTATGTTTCATTCTTTTGGTGTTTTGTAGACTTTGAGACGCTGGAAGAGAAAATGGATGGATGGAGAGGTAAATATGATGATCTAATCTTGTAAAGTGGAAAATACACTCATATTTAAAAAAAAAATAGAATATGTGTTCTGATGAAGCTAGTTTCTCAGATTAAAAGTAACTTTTGAAGAATAACAATCTTTGTTGCGAATATTAAACGTATTAGACTGGTGTTGTATTCTAATGCACAAAAAAATTAATATGTTTTTCTAATGCATCGGCATAAAATAACTATAATTACAGAAATACAGGCTTGGAAACATTGATCTGTATTCAATCCATTTTCTTTAGTTAATGAAGTTACTGAATGAAATGAACTTTGCTATTGCTTTCCATTTTATTCTCTGCACAGTAGCCCTCCATACTGGGCATGATTGAATGGAATGAGGAAGAAAATATTTCTTTGGCTGCTGCCGGTGGTCTAATTGCTAATGCATAATAAATGCTCTTTCAAGGACTGAGCTAATCCTTACTTGAGCCTCCTCACTCATTTTCCAGTGCTGCTCTGAATGGCAGTAGGGTTAAAAGCTTCACACTGGTTCAAGCTTCCTGAAACCCCCTGGAGAATAATTTGCTGGTGGCCAGAGCTGCTTCAAAGCAAAACTTTGAAGAGAGGGATCCAGCTTGTTGCTAGCCTGCTGGATGTAATTATTAATGTTGTGGAGGTGGTGATTCTCCTTGCCGTATAGGCGGGGATCCTGTCATCAACCTGGATCCTGGTGTTATGTTTAAGGTGCTGCAGTGAGTTAGCAGGGCGCTGCAGTCAATAAATTAGAAAATCTCTTCTGAACGATAGGAATGAGGACTATAACGAATCTGTGCTCCATTTATAATTAATCAAAGGTAGCTCTAACCTCTAGCCTTGATTTAAGGGAATTCGATGTTCTCTGTCTTCCTGGCCAACTTTGTAACTGTCTTTATGTGGCTGAGAAAGTTCAGGTCCATCACTACATCAAGATTTTGGATCTTATCTCTAGTTTCCAGCTGTAATAACTAAAGCTGGAAACTCTAGCTCGTTCCTCTTTAGGTCCAAAGTTGATGACTTCAGTTTTGTTTCTGTTGAGCTGGAGAAAGTTTTGCCACATCCACTCATTCATTTGGGTTCTGAATCAACTGGTGACATCGTAATGTAGAGCTGTGTGTCGTCTGCATAAAATATAGCAAGTGATCTTATCACACCATGTTCCAAATTATTATGCAAGTGATATTTTCTACTTATGGTCAATGCAAATGATGGTCAGTATAATTTTCAAGTCATGAACTATTAGAGTACAAATCAAAGCTCCCTATGAGAACAGTATTTTTTTCAGAAATAAAAACTCAAAGTGCACTGAAAATTATTATACACAGCAGATTTTCAAATCATTTTATGGATTATAAAGAACTGCAAATGGTCATTCAAAGAGTAGTAGGTTCAAGCAGTTCTTTACATAAGATTCAATCCAATTGAGTGGAAAAGGTGTAAAGTTGTGCTGAGGTCCAACAGAACCAACACTGTGGTTCTTCCACAGTCTGTATTTCTATATCTAACTGAAAACTTTGACAGGGACAGTGAGCATGGAAACTGAAAGGTGTCTAAGCGGTTGGTCACCATTAGAAAGCTGTTTAACTGCTTGAACTTCAACATGTTCAAAAACATGTTGAAACTGTTTATTCAACATGTTTTACATAAAGCCCAAATTTCTGCATTGCAACTCTTTCCTTATTGGTCTGATGTAAAATGTCACATCTTAATTATGATTTTCCTCTTAATTAATGAACAGAAAAAAGGCTTGAGAACATAAATCTGTGCCATTAATCTTTGTGTTTTACTCAGTGAACTAAATGGACTTTCCAGTAACACTAATTTCTGGAGTTATGACAATCATTAAAACTTTCAATAAATCTTCTGGGCCTAAGCTTACAACTATAAGCGTGGCTTCCTGATAATATGGGAAATGATAATTAATGTCCTAAAAAATCCTGCACGTGTCAGCAATATATTTCTCACCGAGCCGCGACCTCGTAAAGGAATACATGGAATGCACTGAAAATTCCCTTCAGTGCATTTGTTTGGACTAAGAAAGTTTTGTGCAGGAATGGAGATATTTATCTTAAATAATGTCTGAACCAAGCAGCAGGCTCAGTAAGTGGAGGATGCCTCGGTTTTCTCACTGCTGTGTGTCGAATCCGGAAGGAGATTTAATCATACCTGAAAAAATACCAAAGTAGCGGCTGGACGCTGTTCTGCAACGCAGAATTCAATTCCATTGCATTTTGTACATACAGTGAAATCAGCAGACAGGCAATACCTTCCCAACGTATTGATACTTTTTACCGTTTTCTCACAGTTCAGCTACAAACTTCAGAGTATTTTATTAGGATTTCTGTAAGAGACTGAAACATAAAGCAGTTTTTTTTGGAAGGAATTTCTTTTCTTTTAAGAATAAAAATATGAAAATTGTGGCTTGCAATTGTGTTTAGCCCCTTTTTTATAATACCCCTAAAAATACGGTGCGTAGCAACTTTAAACCTACAAAGAACTTGGTCACATTTTTTTTTTATTATTTGTGTAACATTTTAAAAAACATGCAGCTTTTATTTTCTTTTTTTTTAACTTGAAAAACTTGTCCTATTCTATATTATTGTGGTTTCATTTCTTTTTTGTTTTCACTGTATTTCAGCCAATTGCCTGTGAGATTCGAAAGAAAATCTTTGTTTCTTCTTGAGTCTTTGCAAAGCTTTTAGACGGGTGCTCGGAGGCAAATATTGCCAACAAACAAGAATTACACCAAGCCCCTTTTCAACTCCACTTCTGAATCAGACGTGTGGAAAATCGCGACGAGGTTTCTTGTTGTGACACTTCTCTGCCGTGGCGCCAATCAACAGAAAGTCCATTTAAGTCTTTTATCCAGAGGAGACACTTGAGAAGCCATCAGTTCCTGCCAGAGGCTCTCGGCCTGCATTTTCCTCGCAGACCTTCAGAGCTGTCAACATAACTGCAAAAAGAAGGGAGAGAATGTAAAGAATTGTGATCTGACTACTGTCAGCGTTCTGAGGCTGAAACAATTAATCGTATCAACTGTGATGAATCGATTGTTGACGTAATTGTCAACTAATTCAGTGGTATTTGTTAACTGAAGAATACAAACTAAAAATAAATGCCATTTCCTAAAGGAACATGACAATCAGAGCAGGAATTAGACAAAATCGTACAAAAAAAAAAAGTTTTGCATTTACTATAAAAAAAAGCGTAAATCAATTATTGGCAGTAAAATGTTTTTTCCTTTTTGAAAAGGACTTGAATTGTTTCTTTGTCTTCATCTTGTGAAGGATTTGCCATATTGTTAAAAGAAAAATCTCAACTGACCAAATGAGAAATCTGCAGAATTTTTAAAAATCCGATTAATGGTCAGAATAGCCAATGGAATAATCGATCACTAAAAATAATCGTTTGTGGCAGCCACAGTGAGTTCTGTGATTGATAGCTTTAAATCTGACAGTCATACCTGGTCTAAAATAGATTTTGTGTCTGTTTTTCATCCAAAGGTGTGGGGCGAAAGCACAGCGCCTCCCACTGGCGTTTGCAGAACATCGCACAGGAATCCGTGGAAAGCTCCGATGAGGAGTTCTTTGACGCCAGAGGTAACACTGAGTTTTATTTCTCTCTTGCTCTGATGCTTTATTTATTTCCAATTATCTGGCATTATGTACCATTACATTTAATTTCAAGTTGCTGCTTCCTCTGTTTTGGCTCCACATTTCAGATTCCTCGAGATTCTGTTTTCTAGGGTTACTGTAGGTATTTCTATTTCTTTTCTTTTTTTTTTTTTATACATATAACAAGTAACTTATTTCGCCAATTATAAAGATGCTAAATTCTGCAAATATTTTGAGAAAGCCTATTTTAATGGTTCGCACAACAAGTAAGGCTTGATATGCATAAATAGGCAAAGTGGAGACATTTTCAGAGCTGCAGCAGAAGCTAACATCTACAGTCTTGTCTCTGTTCTTGGGCACACAACAAAAAGGAATACCGCTCCTGGATTGGCTGCTGTGCCAACGACAGCCAAGAGCACATCATGTAACATTGCTGTTAGACATTTCGGTTTTCCAACCTTCAGTTCATTGAATATTTTAAATGTTCTCTACAAAAAAAATGTAAACATCTAATTGAATAAGGATTTTTTTTGCCATTACTTGGAGTCGTCTTCCACCGAAAAATTCACAAACAGGAATGTGTGGTTCAAAAATGACATTTTTAACTGCAAAATGAAATTAAATCGGATAGGTTTGCATCTGATTTAGTTGGTTATAAAATCATTTTATTTAGGGGTATCATACTAAATGAGTCTAAATGAATGATCAACGTTCCAGGCAGCTCTACACAAGTTGCCCTTTAAATCCCTGATCTAAAGGAGTTCAGTGTTTCTGGAGTTTAGAGATCAGTGGCACCTCGAAGCTGAATGCCGCTCCTCCATCTTTGGGTCTGCAGTTCACCAAATATACATTAAAATGCATTAAAACACAAGGCACTGTAAATGTGCAACACACTGTGAAGTGATAACATGCCTGTACTATGATTTTTTTTTCTTTTTTATTCAGTATTCTGCATGCAGTAACAAGCAGACGAGAACAAAAAGATTCGGTTAGTTTCACAGCTCAGCAGTGGATAAAAACCACACTCGGACCGCCTCACAAGTCCGTATTAATGTTTAAGGCGAAGCTCTGATGCAGTTGGTGTTGGCAGCCAGACCCAGCAGACAGTTTTTTTTCCCTTTCTGCGTCTGGCAGAAGTTTGGAAGCTCCACTACGTGGGGAACAACGCAGAATAACAATGTCTGCTGTGTAGAAAACCAGAAGGCTTGAAAGGATGAGCTGCTGCTATGTCCTACTGTCAACTGTTGCCTTGACTCATCACAATTTCTTCCATCAAGTTGTTCTTCCTGAAGAAATCCTGCTGTAAAATGTGACTCCGTCCCTCAGCATACCGTTTATTATCTGCAGATATGCGATAATATGCAGGCCTCTCGTTCTCCTCTCGCGTGGCTGCGGCTGCTGACCCTCCACTCCGCTCCAACACTCTTGACTTCTTGGCTCGATAATCTTATCACCAGCGAGGAGAAGGTCACTTTGGCAGCAAGCCACGAAGCAGCTGAAACCATGACTCAGACCAGCACATAAAGATTCCAGACAGCTGCTCAATCTGCACATATAATGATATGTAATTAAACAATTTTCTTAGAATTGGTTAGACGTATTAACCACGCTGTGACTCAGGCCCTATAGTGCAGTGAATACTCTTAATTTTACAACAGAGCGAATTCATAAAGGGAATTAAAAATGCATGCAGAGTGAAAAGAATCCGAGCTGTAAGTAGTAAGACGATCCTCGAGATGGAGGGTGCTAAGAAGTTTTTGTCTCTTTGTCTGTCAGTTTTTTCTGAGTTCAGTGTGAAAAATGGTCTTTCTCGCCTGAACCTTCCATTATTGTTGGCTGTCAACACGGGAGTCAGACTGAGGTTGCCTGAAGTCATGCATGATGTTTTGATTGGCAGGTGAGAAAAACTGCAAGTGAAAGCAGGTTAATCAAGCCAGTAGTTTGGAAATTGGGGAACATTCTGATAAATGCGCAGCGCCTGTCGACATGTGGAGGCAGCTCTCCGGTAAAACGTCATTTTCCGTCACCAAAAAGGTTTTTTACTCTGTATAACTGCTTTAAAATCGTCTGCATTTTTCAGTAGAACTAGCTGTTATGAATCAAGTTTAAATAGCAGTTTTTATGTTTGACTTTATTCTGTGTAATTTGTCATTTTTCTTCTAAGCTGGGTATGAAACAGTAACGATAGAGATGAGTACTGGATGCTACTGGTATCCCTGACAAGTCTCATCGTTCAGTTTGTGTTGTATAACACATAGTGCTTAAGTAGGGAAGAAATGAAATATATGGAGGTCAGTATGATTATTATTATTATCCTTGCTGCTTTCATTTCAGTGGGAAAGCAGCAGAAAAAATCCCCCCAAAACTTGTGAGTGTTCGGAAAAGCTACAGCATGCTATTTCCTACCACCTACCAAAGAGTTTTGTTTTTACCTTTTCATTTTTAGGCATCTTATTTAATCTCTGCAGGAATAGAGCTGAAACAATTTAATCCGATCAATCATTTTTTTGGAGGAAAAAAAAAAAGAATACTCAGAGCAGTAATTAAGCCAAAACTGTACAAAAAATTATGCTTGCCTTGCGAAATTTATACAAAGAAATTGACTCCAACTTTGAATATTGTTTAAAATTGTAAAAATAAAAAAAATCACCAAATAATAATACAACTCACCTAATTTAGTCGTATGAGTTTTATATAAAGTACAAAGTTAGTAAAACACACATTTATAAAAGAAAAAAAAAATAAATAAAAACAAAAAAAAAAAAAACATTTTTGAACCACCCCCACAAATTGGAGCCCTGGGCTGCCGCCCCTTCAGGTCCTTTCTAAAATCTGTCCCAGTACATTTTGAATTTCAGCTGCATCCTGAAAAACGAAGAGCTCGAGACTTCCCTTGACCTCTCATTCACCGGACTATTTGTGCACTTTTTCCCTGATGGGAGGCATAGTCCACAGGGAGTGCACTGCACACTGATTTTTATTTATTGGGTCCCTTGCTCATGGCCCTGTATTTATGGATATGGAGCCTGAATATTGACCACTGGAGCTGCTGGGTGAGCTCCTTTGGTTGAAACTAGGGCTGTGGCGAGATGCAGTGCTAATAACATTCTATGTGGATACTTAAAGTAGTTGGGGAACATTTTTATGCCATCATGTGTAGGAGAGGAGTAGATGACCACTTAAAGTCCATATACAATCTAATTTTTATGTCATGATATTTTTTTATACCACGATAATGGGTTTCTAGAAAGGCTGTGTAATCTCCTCACTGTAGAAACTCAGAAGAAAATGATTAAACATAAAAAGTGCAACTGTTGTCTTCCTGTCTGTTGAAGTGATGACTGGCAATATTTAAAGTGAAAAATCTGATGGGTTTTACTGAAATGCATAAAACTTGACTTCATAAGAGCCCGATTGCCGATGAAACCAGAAACATGTTTGTGACTGTTTTTTTTTTCCTGCTGATCCGCTGCTTTAAACAAAATCAGACATCTGAATGCCCACAAATACACATTAGTCTGACTGCTTGGCTTTTCATGGTCCCAGAGGGAGTTCATTAGAGAAGAAGGAGAATACTTACCCATCCAATTATCCACTTCAGTGTGCTTATCCCCAAGAGTCTGCTGATTGAGATACTTACCAGTTATATTTTAGTTTTAGAACATGCTATTTTATATTAGGCCAGTCACTATCCTCCAGTAGGGTGTCTAGTGTTCAGGAGTTATGTAATAAAATGCGATTTCAAAATCTAGTATTAGGCAGAGTGAAAATGTGGTTCAGTGGGTAACAAATCAGATGGTGTCTGAGGGTGCATTCACACCAGCCCTGCTTAGTCTGCTTTCATCAGACTTTAGTTTGTTTGCAGTTTGTTTGGAGGTGTAAATATGTAATTGAATTCAGAACAAAGATGCAGACTCCGGTTACGCTGAGAAACATAAGCCTCAGTTCGATTGACGTAAACTCCGGTGCTGTTCGAATGCATATGTGAATCCCAATCAGACCGGAAAGTGGACTATATATCACAGGGAATTCTGGGTAAATGGTGACAAAACAAACGTGCGAGTCTAGCACTAGTGGAGTGAAAACACCTAAACACACCATCTGTGGTCAGCCAAGTTTTACTCGTAAGGCTTTAATTCTTCATAGGTCCAAAGACGTGTTATTTCGTTTATGATTTCCCTTCTTTCCCCTGTTGTGCCTCAAGATAGCACTCTGTAAATTCCCTTGCACATTCTATTCTCTAAAACCAGCATGTTCCCAGAATACAGTGAAAGAAAGCATTAAATATTTATCTTCATCACAGCTCCTGAGGAGCTGACTCTGACATTCCTTTAAATGCATTTTGTCAGAGCATAGTAGAGTCACCTATTCGTGTGGAGGAGCAGAGATGCCGGATGAGGGCTGATTTACCTCTCCACCTTCACACTATTTAAAGTGCAGCATTCCCCAGTGGGCCATAAAATCTTTCAACTGGGTGTAAAAGAAAAGAGATGTATTTCTGTCAGGTAATTAAATGACAGAAATAAGAAGAACAATCTTACAATTTTATCTTGAGGTATTATTTATAGTAATGTATTTCATATATATATATAAAAAAATCAGCTGTACGGGAGCATGTTCTCATTTACTTTAATGATGTGTTATACTTAATATCTGGGGACGGGAACATGCACTAACTATTAAAAAAAGGATATACAGTCCTATTTAAGAAATTAGAATATCCATTCAAAAGGTCATTTGTAAGGTCAAAAGTACAGTTTAATAACTTTTAAATAGGTATTGAGTATACTTTGCACTAAGGTTGCATTTCATATTATGAATTCTGGTTGATACATTTGTGGAGTTTAATCTTAACCATCTGTGTCCATGTTTTAAAACAAAAGAGATCTTGTGTTGTTTGAAGGGCTAGCTACTAAACATACTAAAGAATAACAATGTCTGTTGGTTATGAGTAAAGATTCATAAACATATAAAAAACTTCCATC